ATGTTAAATATGGGAGATGGTTAGATAATTCTGAAAAGCTTCAAACAATGTCTAGACAGATATTAGAAGCATTGTAAATTCTTTATTTCCTTACATAGAAGATGAACGAATTTCTAATAATTAGCAATGCTTTATAGGCTTAAAGTTTGGAAATCGCCCAAATATGAAGCCTATTTAAAGAAGGGAAAATCAGTTAATAAAGGGTCATATGTTTGTGAAGTACTTGTGCCTCTAATAAACATAGTGATAAGCGATTTACCTGGAAATCCAGTTGTTTAGGATATATGGTAAGTTAAAAAGATTTTTAGTAACATGTATTTACAATATAATGATTATATTTTTTCTAATAGGGGTGAGAGAGGGAGCTCGGCTAGTACTATGCGAAAAGGTTCTCGTAAATTAGCACGAAAGCCTGACTACATGAACATAGTATAACTGGGGAATAGCACAGAGCTTGAAATTGTATATCTAGAAACTGGTAAACCAAATTCCTCCCAAGACAAACGACAACAAGATCACAAAAAGTTGGTACGATTTTCCAAAGACTCCATTGATACTACAAGAAATGTATCTAAGCTTAAAAGAATATTCAATCAATCATCCAAGAGACAGAATTTGAGTGTATTTACCATTAACATCGCTGGTATATATTATAATTTATTTTGCATTTTGCTAATGAACGGTAATTAACCTTATTTATCCATATTTACTTCACATAAAATTGCAGGTGATGTTATAGAACTCTATGCTATGCGGAAAGAGTCAGGTATATATAAGTACTGTTTAATAGAGGAAGCGACAATTCCACTGCATATGACTTCCCCAAATGCAGTATACCCACTTATACATGCGTTGATGACTCTGATAACGGCTGTCGCATGTACAATTTACAAAATATTATATAGTTCTGAGTCTGGAAATAGTGAGCATAGTTCTAGTAAAATGGTAGTAACGGTTTCGACCCCTAAAAATTTATAGAATAGAGTTCGATTTTCATGCATGTAATTATTAATAAAAAATTTTCTTGGCAAAATTTCAGCGAACAATGTTCGTCAAAAATCACATGATTTTCTAAAAGTTCTGAATAGAGAAGTAACAGTAAAAGCATAGGGGCATGATGGGCAACGTCCCGATTTGTATTATTTTTTGCATATTGTGTCATACTACTATTAATAAAGTATATTTGGCTTAGCACTTCTAACGAGATATATATTTATCCACGTAGGACCAGGGAGTGACCAATGGTCAGGATGTCACGTGAAAATCTTGATCGAAGGCGCGCATGAATTAGCTTGACTACTTTTTTCCTTACGCTTCTGCCTCATCTCTATCTCTTTCTGCAGGTTTAGTGAAGTATCAAACCTTAGGTGGATTGCAAGGGGATCATCTTCCGGCCTAGTGAGATCAAATACAACAAACTCACCTTTTTGAAGATAGCTATTAATGACCATAGATGCATTTTTTACATCATCAGTATAACGCCTAATAATTATGGAAATATCTTCATGAGAACTACCAGAATTACAAATTACTAAGTGAGAGGCATTTTCACGCTTGAATGTATCGAGTTTATGATATTTCTGTGCTACATATACGCATGAAATATTCTGATATCGACCATTCCCAAAAAATTGGCTAATTTGATTCTGTATATACTCTGGGGCCAGACATACATCCTCAAAAATAATCGCTGTACTTCGTTCTGGTGAAAATATTCTAACACTAGGAATTTTTTCTGGTGATATATAGCTAAATCGTATATTCTCATAGTAAGGTGCTTTTGGATCTTTTGAAATTATACCATACATATATCTTACAAATGCCCACTTCGGCTCATCAGGATGGTAACCGCAAACTATTAAATCATCACATGCAATATATCTAGACCCTCCTTTCTTACCTTTATATATATATTCAGCTTTATCACTGAGAAAAAGATTTGCCAAGATATTAGTCTTACCTGATCCACTTTTCCTGATGACTAGCATACTGAAAGGCCATGATAGACTGGCAGGATGGGACTGAATTCAGGATGATTCATGCTTTGTGGCCTCATCCATATCCATAAGGTAAAGTTTCATAGAAGGCAGTCCTGTCTTTTGGTTCTTCTGCGTATTGGATTGGGAATGCATAACTTTGATTTCTATTTATGGGTATTGTATATTTCAGAAAAATTTCTTCCTTTTTATCAGAGCGAAAAAACGTCTATATATATACCATATAATTAGTATAATCACTAAAGTAAGAATCATGAGTTCGAATATAGGCAGAAGCATATACTGTTTATCAACTAAAGCCTTACCAGCTCCTAATACGACAATGGGTGAGGCTGAGATATCATCATGTTTTTCTTTTGATTTTTGATCAACATGAAGATGGTCTCCTTGGGACCCTATCTCATCTTTTACTTTGCTTTCATCAGATTCAGACTCTGAGCAGTGTGAAGAAAATAGGATACCTCTTCTACTGTTTTACCTCGCTTAGCTAAAGGCGCTAAAGCATAATCATTGGATGATGAAACTGGATCTGCTTCTGCACTACCTATTTTTAAATCATTAATTAACTGATGTGGTTGCAAAACGATCTGATCTAGTTCATCTTCCAGATCCCTTACCCTAGACCTGAGACAGAAAATTAACCCATCCTTGAATGATGAATTTTGCGTAACTTGCTCCTTTTCATTTTCCAATTCTTTTACCTTAATCTCAAGAAAAGAATTATTATGCAACTGGTTGTCATCAGAATCTTTTAATAAAACTTTTTATGTAGCTTGTTCCAACTCAGCCTTCAGTTCATTTATTTTACTTTCAAGAGAGATGATATCAGAATCCTTCAAAGATGAAGCTTTTTGTATTGAAGATATTATGCTTTCCAGTGATTTAACCGTAGACTTTAACGATTCTATTTCTTTTAACTGCTTGGCATTATAATTGGCATGAGACTTTTGTTCGCAAGTAATTTGGGAGACAAGCTTATTATTCAAACCATTTAGTTGATTAGCTAGGGGGTAATTTGATTTATAGAATTATGCATACGCTCATTTTCCTCATGTGAGTGATCTAGATCATTTTGCATACACTTATTTTTTTCATCTAAGACATGATATTTAGCTAAAAGCTGTTTGCCAGATCTTATAAACTCTTTGCAATCTTTTTTAGCTGTTCTTCAAGCTCTAAACGACTAGGTGGATATCGATTGGATGGAGGGCTCCCAAGTTTACTGCCATCACTATTGCCTACATCATTTATGGTATAGATTTGAGGCATAGTTTTTTATCCTCGTAAATATAGGCAAAAAAAAAATAATTTTTGAAATATTAACATTTATCCTAAGTATCCTATGTATCCTATATATCCTAAGTATCCTAAATATCCTAATAAATTTTTTTCGAAATAATATATTTATCCTATTTATTCTAATAAATAATTTTCAAAATAATAGGATTATTATACTTATTCTAAATATTAAAAGGAATACACTTATCCTATTTATCCCAAAGAATACATTCATTCTATTCATCCTATTTAATATTTTTTGAAATATTTTATATAAAAATACATCATCACAATTATGGTTAGACAGCGTATGAATTGTAATGCACCTCCATTTTCATCAACCGATTACGATTTTATTATGCAACGTGAAAATGAAAGGCCAAGAACAAAAGTATTAGATGAATTGATGGATAAATATAACACATCGATGAAGCGCATATATCAGATTTGGAGAGGTGAAGAAGCTAATAGAATGCCTGGAATCAACCAATAGCTAATATTTCTAATACTACTTATGCTGGCGGGTGTTTACCTATCGTAAACTGTGACCCACCTCCTGCTATTTCCTCTCCACCTGCCTTACCACTGAAGAAAAATAATCGAAAAAAGAAGACAGGTAAAACGTCATCTACTGAGGTGGTTTCACAGCGCAATGCTAATACCATAGATAATACTGATATTTTATCTAAAATGGGATTTGAACTTGAAGATTTATTAAAAGAAATGGATAATGTTAATTAACTTATTTCTTTTCGACAAGCATTTTTATAGCACTTATTGCTTTACCAAGCCACTCTTCAGCTTTTGCAAGATGTTCTTCAAGCTTTGCACAGTTTACACACTTTTTTTTAAACTATCCTCATTAGTTGAGAAGGAGTCATGTGACCTCTCTTTAGGATCCTTCTTTTTCACAATAAAAATATTACGCTGAGATTTGTGAACTGATAGGGGGATGGTAATAGTCTTTCCATCACATGTAGCCTTAAATTCTCCTTTTATTAAAGGCTCCCACCTAGCTCGATATTGCCATTGAGTTCTGAGAATTACTAAAGATTTAGCATTTCCATTACGATCCTTTTCTGCAGGTACAACAGAAACATCATCCATGATAGACGCTGTATTTTCTCCAGAACCAATTGTTACAGGAACATTATCCATAGTGCCGATGGATATAGATTGACTTGCAACCCCATTAAGCCTATGAATTTTTTTCCTATTAATTTTAATACCTAAAAGCTCTTCGACAAGTTCAGCAATATTATCCGAAAATATGGAAGAATCAG